TGGAAAAGGCTATTGAAGCTGTAAAGAATAATGAAATGGGCTGGCTATTGGCTTCTAAAGTGTTTAACGTCCCTCAATCGACTCTTAGAAGACATGCACTGAAACAAAATAAAGTCTTAGCTCCAACTACAAAAGGTACCTACTTAGTATTTTTTTTATTTTCGCGTTTTGTTCGCATGATTAGAGCGGATTTAAACACGTACCTTTGTTTTAGGTATGGGTAGGTACAGGAGTGTCTTCACATATGAAACGGAACGAGAACTGGTAGAACATATTAAATTACTAGAAACGAGATTGTTTGGATTCACAAGAAAGGAAGTTTTAGAATTGGCATACCAGTTTGCAGATGTTAATAATATTCCTCATAACTTCAACAATGAAAAAAAGATGGCAGGCAAAGAATGGTTGGCTGGATTTAGACGCAGACACGCGGACATATTCTTGAGGAAACCTGAAGCGACTTCAGCTGCAAGAGCCCAAGCCTTCAACAAGCCCCAAGTAGCACTGTTTTCCAACACTTACCAAGACATTATTCAGAGCAACAACATTTCTCCTCATAGGCTCTACAACGTCGATGAGTCAGCATTATCAACAGTCCAGAGATCCCAAAAGGTCTTTGCTACTACTGGGCGTAAGCAGGTTGGGGCTTTGACTAGTGCTGAAAATGGGTCTCATGTGACAATTGTTTGTTGCATGAGTGCAAATGGGCATTTTATCCCGCCGTGTTTAATTTATCCTAGAAAAAATATGAAACAGGAGTTGATAAACGAAGCTCCTACCGGTACTATGGGTATTGCGCAGGAATCAGGTTGGATGAATTGCAAGCACATCAGCCGCAGACAACCCACGTCCACTCTCAGTAGTCCAATCTAAAGACACAGCTACTGCAATACCTACGACACCCACATCATCTAAATTGATACTCCAAGAAATATCTCCAGTGCCAAAAGGAATTTATGTGGCTGGACAAGGTAAAAGAAAACCACGCAAGAAACCAACAGTATTGGTGTTAACTTCAACGCCAAATATAGAAGAGGCAAAAGCAAAATCAGTTCCTCCACCTGTTCCAAACAAAAAACACGAAAAAGGTTACAAAAGCTCTGGATTTTAGTTCCGACAGTGAAAATGATTTCTCTTCCTTACAAGCTCACACTGAAGCCGGATATGATGATGAAGATTGTCCTTGCATTTATTGCAATGACCTTTACTCCAGATCCAAGCCAAAAGAGATCTGGCTAAAGTACTTGAGTTGTAAAAGATGGGCTCATGCATCATGTGCAGATGTTCCGAAAAATACAAAACGTTTTACGTGTGAACTCTGCATGTAATCGACTGATTTTCATAAAAAATTTGGTATGCCATTTTGTCCACACCACGTGTGTCATTTTACCCGCCTAAGGTGGACATAACGGTTTTTGTTCAAGTTTGAAAAAAATATTAATAATTCTATTGTTTTTGCACTAAGTTGATTGATCTCTATAATTTTAATAGGTAATGAACCAAAGAATACATAGTTACTTAAAGTGTTCACTATTATTAATAAATATAGATTTGATGACTGATTTTATAACTAGTATGTCATTTTGTACGCCTCTCCCCTACCTATTAGATACTTTTTAACATCGACATTTAATCTAATTTATCACGGAGCTATGAAGTTTTTAACTCGTTAGAACTCTTTCATCACATAATTTTGAATTTACAGATTGATAACGACTATTTTCTTGTAACTACTTCCAATAGTAAGGTAACGAATTATTTATGTATAGTAATTTTATACGCGGTAGAGCCACGCTGCAGCTATATTATGGTTGTAGCACGAATACGTCGGCTCGACTGAGATAGGATCACGCTCTCACAGAATACCAACGTAAAATAGCAGCTTAATGCTGCTGTTTCGTATGGTGAGTGTAGAGAACTGGAGACCCTTTTTATTGGAAATGAGGCGTTCCATCTTAGTCGTCAGGGGTGAAAACGCATCTGCATTTTGATTCTTAATCGAGGGTAAACGTAGATGTCTAGAGGTCACAGCATCTACTTATCATCAGGTGGACTGTGTGCACGTTTGTCGCCCATATTTTATTAAAAAAAAATAGTAATACATCTAAATGATTACTAACTCATTTAAGTACTTACACGAAAACCAATAGTAAGGAAGAAAAAAAGTTATATTGGTTTCTGTTCAGTAGAAACCCAAGGCCGTGGATCCTGTCTCAGAACCGAAGTACGGTTGTCACTGAGCCATTTGATCTTCAATTTATAAATCATTTGAAAGAAAGAAAGAAAATGTTTATTCATTGCTACAACTTACTTAAAAAAAAAAGAAAACATAACTTTATAAATAAATTCTTAAAATAATAAATAAAATATGAATTGCAGCAACAAAAAGGTCACCGACTCAGCATAATGCTACAGTAACATAGTTTCCGCAGCGCTGATATTCTGTCGGAGTCACATAGGTCGACTCGCGACCAATCGCTGGTAATCATTGTTACCTGTTATAAAACAATCACTGAATACATAACTAAAGTAATGGTCCTGGGCTTAAATCGCGAACGAGAAAAAATTATGGGTTTCTTCATAAGATTGTCTCATTGCCCCGTGTCTAATAGAAACAGAAACAGAAACTTTTTTATTCAATATAGATTATAAATAATACTTATTGAAAGTCAAAATAAATAAAGTTTCGTTCATTCAGTTACTAAACAGCCTATCAAAAGTCCAGTACTAAACATAGGTCTTCCCATTATATTGCCCCATAGGGAGGATTGAGAATTGTGCCATAGCTGCCAAGGGGCCAAGCTTATCAGGCGCGTTGACAACTGTTAGTGATTTATTATTTTCAGATGTCATCAGGAAAATGCAGCTGCCCATTTTATGTTTTAGTTTCCCTCTGGCCCCTCTTACGAGGTTATAATGATTAGTGGGTTCAAGTCTTTGTCAGTCAGTCTATTTTTTATTTATTCATAGAGTAAAACAGACAGATGTATCATGTATCAGAGTACGTAACGTCTCGATCTCCATTAACTTTTTTTCAAATAAACTTTAGTTTCTTATTTTCCAGACGTTATATGGAAGACTAATCTCCTGATTTGTACCCTCTGTCGTTTCTCACGACACACAAAACTCTATGGGGTAGTGAATATTCTTAAATCACCACTGCACGGTTGATTCATTATATAGTGAATTCTTCATTGTTTATCATTCATAATAATTTAAAATTAAAAAAATCGTGCAACCGACTTCAATATAAATTATTAACAATACCTAACTCAAAAACTATTGGTCTGACTTTAATCAAATTTATATGGGACCACATGAGAATCAGTCAGCTTTCAAATAAAAAAATAAAAACAATCATCGACATCGGTTCACCCAGAAAAAGTTATTAGGTAACGCAAATAAAAAAAAATACAGTGGAATTGAGTACCTCTTCCTTTTTGAAGTTGGTAGAAAAATAAAATTTTCTCGGTATGAAACCGATCTTGGTCAACTAAGATAGTCAATATCTTTAAATAAAAATCAATTGCTATCCGTTAGTCCTTAAGTCCCTGGAAGGTTTAGATTCACAATTGGATCCGTTAGGTAGCGTTGTTGTGGAGATGAAAAAATCAACCAGGCGAAGCCGGGGCGGATCATTAGTCTTATCTAAATACTTACAAAATTTCATCCAGATCGTTGGAGCCATTTGCAAACCAATTACATATTATACAAATAATACAAGAATTTCAGTTAAAGTATGAGATACTACGTGTTTTTACTTTTTACCAAGTTTTCAATAAAAGAAGGTAACGGATGGATTTTGATTATTCGGCCGCGCAGTAAGTAAACGCTTACTCAGCGGGGCTGCTGGTTCAAATTCTGCACGATACAAATATTTTGTAAGTAAACAAATGTTCCTGATGTTGGTCTGAGGTTGGTGAATTGGTCTTGATGTTGGTCTTAAATCTTGTCTTGACACAGGGATCGCGTAATTTATATGCTTAGGTAAAATACCTCTGCGATATAGTACAGGAGGAAATCCTAGTATGGGATGGTACCGGTGTAAGAAGTGATCAAATAATTTTAATTAGAACTACTATTATTTACTTATCATTACCGTTATATTTTATGAAGATCTTAGAATTATATTTTAGAATCGGAAAGAATCTACAGTAATTTTTTTTAATTGCGTAGGTAGGTGTAATAAGACTAGGTAGGTTTTTTATATTATTTTTAATATTAATTTGAAACATTTAGCAGATAGGTACGTAGGTATGAAATAATGTATGTAAATAGATAATTACAATTTAAATGAACCTAAATAAATTATCAATGAGAATTTAAAAATGAGCCATGAAGTCGTGAAACGAGAAACACGTAGCTGCATCACCTCTCTCTTTCTGATATTCCCGATTTCGTATATACATCTCTCTCTGATGCCATGTGTAACACTGATTGGCAGAGAATTTGCTTACTGTGGTCTACGGCAAACTTTCTCAATCATTGAAATCGTTTGTTTATTGTTTAAAATATTATTAATTGTATTATATTATTAATTGAAATTTTTACAATAAATCTTTTTTCTTCAAATTGATAAGAATAATAATAATTATCTAATAAGGCCACAAAATCAAATTTGATATTTCAAATTTTCGCGCTAGTTGATTCATTAATAACGTCTAGTGTGTTCGATTTCTATTTGTCATTTTACAGCCAATGGCTGCTTTCCATCTGTCTGCGTAATTTTACGTCATCAACTGAAGTACATGCAGTTTTTACTCTTTCGCTCTTATGCAAATCCTAATTTGCTTTGTGTAGTCTATCTCTGTCACCAATTTCGTAAAGCCACGTAAGATTAAAGCCATCTCTTTTTCACTCCGTATATTAATATGAGGGTAAAAGAGATAGATAAAAACGATGTAACAAACCGGTAAAAATTAAATAACAGGGAATACGCCAAAATTTGAAGTTATTCGTGGCCAGTCCTTTAACAAAAGAGGGTGGTTGTGTTTGACAAAATGAAGGCTTTAGCGCTAGCTGTTGTCAGTTTACTGGCAATTTTTTCTGTTAATTGTGAAGTGTATTTTGAAGAGAAATTTCCCGATGGTAAGTTTATAAAAGAATATAAAATGATTGCGATGCCAACCTGCTCGCCGCGTATGCTATTGATCTAGGACGCCGGTCGTCATTATATAGTCTCATTGGTCTTATTATTACAGATTCGTGGGAATCCAATTGGGTTTACAGCGAACATCCTGGCAAAGAGTTTGGCAAATTTAAGCTGACCGCTGGAAAGTTCTTCAATGACCCTGAGGAGGATAAAGGTACGTGGTAATCCTTTCTAATCCGGTTTTATTGAAACATGTGCATTGGCTATTTCTATATTTTTTAACAGATACATAAAAGTTAAATGATTTAACATTATTAAATTTCAAGATAATAGTAATATTTAAATTTTAAACTTAAGTTGATCTTGCAAACTACTAAAACATGATCATTGTTCATATTCTCCAGGTCTCCAGACCTCAGAAGATGCGAGGTTCTACGCACTCTCGCGCAAGTTTAAACCATTCTCCAATGCGGACAAACCTTTAGTTGTACAGTTCTCAGTTAAGCATGAACAGGACATTGACTGTGGAGGTGGTTATCTGAAGGTGTTTGACTGCAAATTAGATCAGAAGGATATGCATGGCGAGAGTCCATATGAAATTATGTTTGGGCCTGATATCTGTGGACCTGGGACCAAGAAGGTAAGTCAATTCCTTATGGGAATTTGGAACACAATCCATTTGAATTACAAGGTGGCATTAGGTGGTATTTGGTATAACATATTGGCCATATCAACACAAGCTTGAATTAAAAGTTGTGAAAGCAATATGAAAACATAAATTTCCTTAGTGGACATCACAGATATGGAATGGTTTGATAGTGAATTTTAGTAGTTAATTAATTTACATTAGTAATTAGGAGAGTTAATTATGGTGATTAATTATTCAGATGAGGAATTTGAAGGAAGGAAACATCTTTATTTGGAGCTACATAATTACACCACATGAATATACTATGTTACATTATCATTCATGCAGAAAGTAATAGGCATCAATTTCAGCATTGTGTCATGTAATATAACCACTGTGCTGATATTCTGCCTGTGCCCTTTACAAGAAATTGCAATCAGTTGCAAAACATGTTTTGTCTCTTAGGAATGCAAGTAAAAATTGAGAAAATAGACTAGAATAAAATATTAATAATAAAACTAAAATAGAATGCATAAACTAAACATCTTTTAAACAATACAAAACACTATCATATGTTTTGTATTGTTTAAAAAATGTTTAATTATTATTGTGATTTATGAACAAAATTATCATGATAGTTCATAAATCACAAAAATAACACTAAATAAATATATTTTCATCAAGGATAACAAAATGACACGAGCTATAAAAGAAAAATATATTTCTCATTACCTTGAAATTATTGAATTTATCTGTGTAATTTGACAGGTACGGCTATAGTTAGTAAAAGTGACTTCCTTGGCCTTGGTAATAATTATTCATAAAATTAATTAAATATGATTTAAATTTTCCTTTTTTATTCTATATAAAAAAAAAAAAACAAAAAAAGAGATGAAAACAACCAATTCTATTGTGTTTTGTTGAGATGGCGTAAGAGAATCCGCTACCCCATACCCTATATCACGATCGCCATTATGATAAAATTCTAGGAACTTACTATCTACAAAGTTTAGGAAGGCAAAAAAATATTTTTTTGCACAAAATGCAAGCTGGCTGTTTTGTATGAGTACAAAGGATGTATGGTTTTTCACGCATGTCTTGTAATTTTAAAACAGTTTGTCTTGTCTAGCAATGAGAGGTCTTGTGTTATCATAAAGCAATAATGCCAAAGATCAATTGAGGAGTTGCGGTTGATTCTCTTCGAGTTTCGCCATCACGCTTAAAAGTTTTCACAATTAAGATCTGCTCTGACTGATATGCTTGATCTTAAAAAGCTATAGTGAATTACACCATGTATTGCAACCAAACAGTTACCATTAGTTTTCTATGTGTGAGCTTCACTTAAGGGCATTTTTTTAACATTTGATCTGGGTCTTGCTGCACTAGAGCTATGTTGGAATTTATCTTCGAAAATGAGTCTAATTTTTAAGTGTGATGTCTCAGATACTGAATGTAAATACAATTGAAAGTCTAAAAATAGAAAGTTATCATAACATTTTTAACTTTAATGCTATTGTTTTTGTGTAAAAAAAAGTTTTAATTACAAATCTTGAACCATGCAGGTTTAATTTTAATATGCCAACTCAATTAAAACGGATGCATATTTTAAATCCTCTTATAAGAGATGCCAAATCCGGTAGCAGCTTGTTTATAAATATCAAGTTATAATGATGATGATCAAAACATTGTTTGATCTGAGTAGACAGCAAGGTTTAATTATAAAAATAATTTGAATTTTCAAGCTTCTAATGCATGATGCTATTATACACTAACATGTTTCTACATTACCATTTTCCTACCAAGGACCATTTTGGGACTGAAAATTTTAATAAAAACGACTATAATACTTTGCAAATTTTACAGCAGTAGCTGTAGCACATTGCCGTTTTTGTAGTCAGTCGTACATCTATTAAAAATACAAAATTCATCAGCAATTTAATTTGGAAGTAATTTATGGTCAGAGACGGATTTTCTTTGCCGTGGAGTAAGAAAGTTATCTCCACATTACTGCCCATTGGTGTCATTAGAGGTGACTATTGGAAATGCCAGAAAGATCCAAAGACTTGAAAGATGGCTGTAAAACCATCTCGCTTACTCCGAGCGTAAAATACCCAGACTGGTTATGGGGAGCAGCACCAAAGGTGAAGGCACAACTACAGTTCCTACAGCGCCATGATTTGAAGGCGGATTCGTATAGATATGGACGAAATACACTGAAAAAAAGTAAGAATAAAAGTTTTCGATATCTCGCTTACTTTCAGAGATATCAATACTCAAAAATCAAAAAATGAAAATTTTCTTTGATTATATTATCGAAAAAATTTATTTTTACTTTTCGGCGTACCTCGTAGAGATCTATGCGAAGCCGCCTTTAAATCGTTTAGCCGTGGGAGCCGTAGAAGCCCCGTCAATCCGCCTGAAAAGCACGAAGGTTTAAGCAAATCCTCCCTCGTTCCAACAGGAGAGGCTTATATCCAACTGTGGACTTTAACAAGCTGAAGAGTCTGAGGAATATTCCTTCATCACTAAATATCCAAAACTGTTTGATGTGTTCAAAGTCATTTGCAGTCAAATTCCTTAAACAGTGATGACTGCATATTGAAGACAATAACTGTTTTGTAAACCATTTGCATTACGAACAATGAAATACACAGTATGTATGCAATGGAATTCAATTCACAAAATACATATGAACAAATAAGAAAACTTAAAGGCGTTTTAATTATAGACTAGAACATCATTGAACAAAATGTTTATAACGCCATCTATCGAAAACTATGAGATATTTTTGGTATATCCCATTGTCGTCTTTTAAGACACTTAGGCCCGCCACAGACATACGGAATTCCGCTTTGAGATACCGTTTCGGAATTCTGAACGGGTCGGCCACACACATACGGAATTCCGTTTTGCCTGCAAAATTTCGAACGGAAAACTACCGTACGTGTGTGACGGGTCATATATTTCATATGGACTTGCTGCGTTCGGAATTCCGAATCGGAATATGGAAACGGAATATCGAAACAGAATTCCGTATGTATGTGGCCGGCCTTACGGTATGAAATCTTACTCCTCCACCACACGGCACAATTTTTCATAATATTATCAATATATTTAGATGATTGTTTCAAATTGTTTTTTTTTTTTATTTGTAGGTACATGTGATCTTCAGCTACAAGGGAAAGAACCACCTGATCAAGAAAGACATTCGCTGCAAGGATGATGTTTACACCCACTTGTACACTCTGATTGTTAAACCTGACAACACGTATGAGGTCCTCATTGACAATGAGAAGGTGGAGTCTGGAGAACTTGAAGCTGACTGGGACTTCCTGCCACCCAGGAAGATCAAGGTGTGTAAAATAAAAGTAGAATTTATTTTTGTTAACTATGTTGTTATCCACTTTAAGAGTTATTATGGATAAAATGGCTTCTCTTATCTACAGACTTCAAAAAGAGGTACTCAATTCGACTGTGTCTTTTTTTTATGCGTGTTGCCTCATAACTTTTTTCTGGGTGAACCAATTTTGATGATTCTTTTTTTTATTTGAAAGCTGGTGATTCTCATGTCGCCCCATATAAATTTGTTCAAGGTCTGAACAGTAGTTGTTGAGTTATTCTTAATAATTTATATTGGAGTCTGTTGTACAAAATTTTTATTTGTAATGTTATAATCATGTGTTTGTTTAATTTTATAATTAAGTTTTATATAAGTTTTTCCTCATAAAGTGCCAACTTCACCAGCACATAATGTATTCTGTTGATTTGTCAATCGGCTTACGCCGAAGAGACAGCTGAACTGAAAATAACAATGAAAATGAAGAAATGTCAGATTTAAATGACTGGACCTATATTAGATATCGTTGAACGAGGCTTCATTATCATCGTCATGATAATCATCATTATCATCATTATAACCTATCAAAGCCCACAGCTGAACATAGACCTCTTCCAACAAAATATATTTTTGTCTTCATGACGATCTTAATACAAATTATTAGGTACTTTATTGCTTCTTAACTTTAAAGATGGTTGGCTTTGTTGCGGCTGTTGAATAACTGAATTTTTGTTTCAGGACCCTGAAGCTAAGAAGCCTGAAGATTGGGATGACAGGCCCACAATCCCTGACCCTGAGGACAAGAAACCCGAAGACTGGGACAAACCTGAGCACATTCCAGACCCCGACGCGAACAAGCCTGAGGATTGGGATGACGAGATGGATGGCGAGTGGGAGCCACCAATGATTGACAACCCTGACTACAAAGGTGTTTGGGCGCCGAAGCAGGTAAAAAAATATCATTTTTTTGTTTTATTAAACAGAAATGACACACAAATTTCAGTCCACCTGATGGCAAGTGGCTACTGCAGTTCTTGGACACTTAAATACAACTTAAAACAAAGAAGGCCACAGATGCACTGTCACTGTTTGAGAACTAAGATGGAATGACTCACAGCCTGTAAATAAACTGGCTTTGTATACCCTTCAGACAAATTAAAACTACTTGTGTACTATATACTAGTGTTATTATTTATTAATTCCCGAGGCAATGTTATATTTTATTCACTAGATATTTATTTAACAAATTTTTGATTAAAAAAAGTAGAAAATGCTTTATTATGATTTGTGGTAAAATATTTATTCACTTATTAACTTTAAAGATGGTTATCAATTCAGCTTTAACTTTTGTTTTATGTATGTGACTTCTGATATTAATACATTGATCTACTCGTTTATTACGATCTACACTATTAAATAGTGTTCCCATATATTTTTCAACCATTTTTTTTTCTGATATGAGAATATAAGCCATAGTAGAATAATAAGTGTTTGAAAAAAATTCTCTGCATTTTCACGGCGTAATCAGAAATTCAGCACAAGCTTTGCTAAATCGTTTTTTTAAACAAAGCAAAAGTAATTCATTCTTTTGATTCATTTTACTGTACGTAATAAGACATAAATTAGCTCATGCGTGGAGCAATAGTTTAAACAATTTACAAGGTTGTGACATGGCTGCAAATAGCTTATTTAAAGTTCATTAACCCTTGAAACCGTTAGATGTCAGAAATGAAGCAACAAACTGGCAACTCGCAAGGTGCAAATTGATAGAAATATATGTGAGAAAATAATCGATTCATATTTGCTTTATATTATTTTAGTTTGTAATTTTGTATTTTATAGCTAATGCTGTAAATTTAGCGAAATATTTCATAGTAAAACAAATATATCTAAAACTTATTTACGCTGCTATTAGCATCCATTTGATAAGTGAAAGTCAGTCTACACTAGTCTCTTTGTATTTTAATTTTTTCACAGCTTTCCATAATTTTTGCACACGCTTTTAGGTCTTTGAACTCGAAACATTTGCATTTAGTGATTATTTGTACTACGAATTATCATATCTATTGCCATTATGGCGACATTTATCTTTATAATTTCTTTCATTAAAGATGTTAAGAATTAATTAGGTAAGTTCCGCATTTTCACGTGGTAGGGCCATGCTGCAGCTATATTAGTAGTATAGTTGTAGCACGAATGGGTTGGCTCGACTGGGGAAGGACCAGACTCTCACAGAATACCAGCGTTAAATAGCATCTTAACACTGCTGTGTTTCGTATGGTGAGTGTCGGGAACAGGAGACCCTTTTTTACTAGAAAGGAGGCATTCCATCTTAGTCCTCATGGGTGACAACGCATCTGCATTTTGGTTCGCAAACGTGGATAGATGTAGATGTCTATGGGCTACAGCAACCACTTACTATCAGGTGGACTGTGTGCTCGTTTGTCACCCTATCCTATAAAAAAAGAAAATGATATGTTTTACCTCGTTTGAAGGGCATCTCCCGCCCTCCCTCAATTGCGTGCACTATCTCTGTCATCATTAATCACAACTGCAATGGCTGTCAGCCATTCATGGCTCACCTTAGGATGCCTCTTGTAGAAGCGAAATGTCGTATTATCGACGGCGGTGGTCTTTCTTAGTATATTGGTGTTGGTAGTAGTGGTGCTGGGATTAATTGTGACTGAGATATAGTGTACGCAATTGAGGGCGCGAGGTGCTCTTGAAACTGAGTAAGATACATTATTTTATTTTGTTATTTTATTTTGTTATTTTATTTAGCTAATAGGTTTTTAATATCTTTAGTATAATAAATTTCCGCACAGTAACGCCTAATTCTATTAATTATAATTTCTTTCATTATTGAGTCGCTGTGTTTTTCAATAGCTGCGCAAAATTACATCACGTCTTTTCTTAATAATAGAGGAGAGGGATTAATTATACTAGAGTAGAAAATTGAAAAACATAAAAAATATTTTTTTATTTAACATATAAAAACACAAAAATTACTAAGTGTACAACAAAAATTTTAATAATTGCGTCAACTGATATTTCGATTATTATATAGAATGTTGATACTCATATTTAGGTTTTTTATAGCAGTAAGTTATGTTAAGTATAAAAAGATTTATGCTATCCTCCGAAGAATAAAATGCAAATGCATTGTAACCCCTGAAGACTAAGACGGAATACCTTGTTATCAGTAAAGAGGGTCTTCATCGTAATATTATGAAACACAGCAGCATTACACGCGGGATCATGGTCCTTTCGAGCTGATCTATTCATGCTTTAGCCATAGTATGTTGCAGTGTTGCTCTACCACATAAAGCTAATTATATGTTAATTTATAACATTTTTCTTTTTTGGTTATTTACAGATTGACAACCCTGCGTACAAAGGACCCTGGGTGCACCCTGAGATTGACAACCCTGAATACACCCCAGACCCTAAATTGTACAAGAGGGACGAACTTTGCGCTGTCGGTCTAGATTTATGGCAAGTTAAGTCTGGCACCATCTTTGACAATTTCCTATTTACCGATGACCCGGAGATTGCCAGAGAACGCGGTGAAGCCTTAAAGAAGACGCAAGAAGGCGAGAAAAAGATGAAGAATGAACAGGATGAAGCAGAGAGGGAGAAGATAAAGAGTGAGAAGCCTGATGAAGAGGATGATGATGAGGACCTCGATGATGAGGCGGGTGAAGCTGCGCCAGTTGTAAGTATATTATTTGCATATTTATAGTTACTTTTAATGAACTAAAATACAATTTTAATTGATAATAGACATTATAAATAAAAAAAAATCTTAAAAGCTACCATTACAACTTATAAAAGTCCACTGCTGAACATAGAACTCTCCCTTAGATTGCCTCATAGGGTATTTTGTTTGTGGCCTCTTACAATACCCATGGGACGATATGGGTTAGCGTGGATATTCATACATGGCCATTACACTGTTTACATTCAAAAGCTATGGGACTCCATATTTAGGAGAAAGTGTTTCAAGTATTTTGTAAGCATTTTTGTCTGGTAATAAAAATACTATTGACTAAAAATATGACTGCAGCCGTGCAGTGTATTGAGGGTTTTTAGTTTAAACTTATCTTAAACTAAAATTTCTTTAACATTCAAGTAATTGGTTATTCAACATTAATTCAAAAAGTGTTGTATCTGATTTGGGTGGACATGCGAGCTAGTTATTTAACTAAGAGGAGGTGGTCCATGATCAGACCAGACATTATGTTTTTAATCAGGAAGTTAGCTACGAAAGCTCGTAGAGCCATTGGTTCTGCGCCTGATTTCTCTCTGGTGACGTCGCATTTTCATCCCATCTAACTTAGAGAGTAAGCGAATAGAGAGGGCACCTGTGTTGTTGTGTACTCAAAAACATCCTGTCCTGTGTAAATTATTAGTCTGACCGAAATTTTGTCATTATATAGGGCATTATGTAGGCTCATAAAACTGCAACCAGCAACTTGCATATTTTATCATATTATCTCTTGTTTTAATGGCTACTACTATATACTACTTCTCAATTCATGCATTGGTTGGATTAATTTCACACATTAATGTAATTTTTTTTTGTCTACAGGAGGAGCACGATGAGTTGTAAGCTGATTAAATGTCTGTGTGTGTGTGTGTGTGCAAAGACAATATGTACCGACGGGTACGTGTTTGTGCGGTGCCCAAGTGCACCGGGATCTTTCCGTAACGCGAAAAGTTTAAGTTCCCGACAGATTTGTGTGTTATATTCAATATATCTCTTATTTATATACATAGCACTGTTTGTGAACACTCGAAATATTCATACGGGCACGGGTCTGTAATTACTTTGAACATATACAAGGTTATTAAATATATTATGCCCAAATTTTTTGGTTCAGAATAGGTAATATAGGCGAATGATAAAAAAAAAGAAATAAAATAACTCAAACATTCAATTTTTAAATTTTCGTAGGTAGTATCACTTGTCACTTCGTTGCAATGGCGCAATGAAAATATTCAAAATTATGAAATGACACGGTGTTACATTTTAAGCAATAAAAGTTTACTTGGTGCGTAAAATTTTTACGAAAGCGAGTCTGGAGAGAGCTTAAAGGACAAGCATTCGTGCCAAAAATCTTGATAAATAAAGGCGTGTTTACGTCAAAGAGGCCCAAGTTATACGAAAAAGTGCTCAAACAGTATAGTTGATCTTAAATATTAAATTTGGATGCACTTAGAAAAGTAACCATGTATAATGGAAAATGTGTGAGTGAGATAGTGTAGCAAGTTGTCTGTCTCTGTTGCACTGTGTGGATTTACACGATTGTATATGTTCGGAGTAATTTACAGATATATGTATATATAAATGAATCGCGCTCATGTTTTTATCTGTTATTTAATATTATGTTGGCGGCACTGTGTGTCGTGAATGTTCGTTGTACAATATCGGTTGCTCCTAGTTTAGTTTTTTTCTATTCGGCTGGTATTGTAAAATGAATAAGGAAAAAATTAGTTCTCAATTTACGTTGTGAAATGAGTCTGATTAAAATTAATACGAATTTGAAGTTTGTGTTTTATTTCTGGTTGGCGTTTAAATTGAATTGATATGGATGCAATGATTTCAAAATATATAAGTCAATGTATGGATGACTCAATATCAGCACTTTGCCAGTTTTAATGAAATAGGAAATATGAATAGTACACAACCAAATAGAGTTTCCTAGTCTCTGCCTACCCATCTGGGTAAAAGTGCATAATATGTAGAATTACATAAGTCGAAATAATAAAATTTGTATATTTTTACTTTGTATAATAATTAATGTCTTGGATTAATTAATATGTTACGTAATCTATACCGATATTCTAATCTGGAAGAAACCTTATTGTACATGATATAGGTAATACTGCATGGCTCTATGGCATAGAATAAATAATAGTTAAAAGAACAGAAGGATAACTGATAGCAAACTTGCGAGTTTAAACTTATTTACAACGTCGCTAATATTCATAATACATTGCACGCCTAGGAAGTGACCTTCGTGAAATTAGCCTACTGTTTATTTCGTCGAAAAAAAATTGTTTCGCGCCTATTAAATCAAAATACAACTTACGTCGGCGTGGGAGTGTCTGTATCACTTAGCCCGTTACGTGCCTTGTTAACCGGTTCAGTGCGGATGGCACGCCAGGCGTGCCTTTGATTATTTTTGTGCATGGCGTATGACACGCGAGTCGTGTCTTTTTAAAAATCGTAACTCGCTCAAATTGCGTTTTTGGAAAATTTATCCAGAACAAAATATTCATTGTTTTGCAAGTAGTTCATGCCTACCGCTTCGTTTCTGGATATTTTGAAAATTTGACATTTTTAGGGGTTGATAACCTTTTTTTAACTTGTACATGGTACTCTTTTTACTTTGTGGGTTTTAAATCATGTTGTGGAAAATAGTCTAATAAGTAACAAATAATCAATAACCAGTAACAAATCTCAACAAGTTTCTGGAAAACAAGTCTCCTGTTAAAAAAAAACCAATGCAAACGCATTGTTTAATTTTGCTTATAATGGTGAACTGCCGTCTTATTACTATCATATGGCCGAATAGACCTACGAAGTACCATGCGCTCTTGTAATATGGTATAAGGTTTATTTTTGCTTGAAACAGTGGGAAACCGTTCATGCATAAAAAAAGTTCGCTAATAAAATATAGTCTGTGGTCAATCCGCCGCCGTATAACGCCGGCGTTTTTTTCCTTTTGAAAACACTTGTTTTGCTATTCTTACTAATTACACTGTTTCAGATCGACTTTACTTTTACATTTGTATAACATTAAATAATATTTAACATTTGTAAATATCAATGAATCATAAACCTTATTTTTTTCAAAAATAAGGTTCTTGATTGTTTGATATTTACAAATGTTATTATTAGTTGAAAATTTACTTGAAGAAAAAGCAAGGTTTTCCAGGGTGATTTAGCTGTATCTACTTATATAAATGATTTTTTATAAAACAAAAAATACTACAAAAGGTTTGTAATCTCTGCATAAAAAAGTCACTTACTCTCAATTTCAAAGAAAACACGTAGCTACCCACTAAAACAAGTTTTCTTCCGTTTGTAACTGATGTTTCGTTTGAAACTGAATAGACTTGAGGACGATAAATCCGACATTTCCTTGGGACAGATCGCCCTCCCGGTGATAGAAGAAGTTGTCGGATTCGAGGATTACCATGTCCTCCCCCTCTCTTCGAACCTCGGATAACCCTATAATATTCCGCGCAACTTGTCTATCTCTTTTTCCAGCTCCAGGATCTTCTCGTCAGTCTCTTGGTGCGTGCGTTATGTGTTACCGGGTCGAGTCATCTTAGGTGGCAACCGAACCTCCACCGGAGATTCTTAGCACCCCCTGCCCCGCCGTTACCATGGTCGCCACCGTAGCCAGGAATAGCGGGGCCGCCGGGGACTGGGGTCCGTCACTTCGTAACTTTCATCATGGGGGGTATATTGCTATAGTTGCCACGCTTGGCGAGCGGGTTGGTAACCGCAGTTTTTTTTATTGTTGTTTTGCTGTTGAGACAAGAGAAAGATGCTGCTGCCCATCTTCTGCCTCAGTTTCCCTCTGTCGCCACTTACGACACCCACGGGAAGATATGGGGTAGTAGTGGATATTCTTACCCGCCACTACACGGGGTACTATTATATGTAGTAATATTTAGGTAAAAGCATAAATTTCAATCGCAGGTCAGAGCTTCAGCGTTTCTATAATACTGCTTCCAAGTCTTCGAAAAAATGTAACTTTCTATGAGAGTATATTAATGCTATAAAATGAATGAAATCAACGATCAGCCGCTAGTCTATCATGTGATAACGTCGTTCCCATTCATTATTATAGTGTTCTATTGGCCTTTATGATTGTAGAAACTACTTAGCTGACCCCACTGTTACATAGACTGCACTAAAATTATCGGGAACGGAATATTTTTACTGTTCCTGTCATATTAAAATTTTTAATTGAAAAGTCCTTGGTTTTAAGATTCTGATTGAGGAAGATCGACATGTGACATAACGCGAAATTCAGGCAACTTTAGACATTGGCATGAGCAAATACAAATAATCTTGCATGAACAATTAGGTGTAAAAAAGTTGTTTTCCCGATGGATACCGCATTCATTCTGTGAAGAGCAAAAAGCGGATCGCGTTACTTGGTGCGTCAGAACTCTTGAAAGATTCCACGCAGGATCCTCAAATGCTGTATACAACATCTTATCAGATGACGAATCCTGGATATACGTGTACGAACCCGAAACAAAAAACCAGTCACGAGTTTGGGCGGAAAATGAGTTAAAGCCAACAAAAATTGTTCGTTCACGGAGTGTTGCAAAAAAAATGGTGGCCACGTTTGTCTCCAAAACCGACTATGTTACGATTATTCCTCTTGAGGGACAAAGAACGGTTAATGCAGAATAGTATGCTAGCGAGTTCTCACACCGCACACAGAACAAAAGAGTTTTTAGAGCAAGAAAACATAGAATTATTAGACCATCCGCCGTACAGCCCCGACCTAAGCCCTAATGATTTCTATACTTTCCCTAAAATAAAGAATAAATTGCGTGGACAGAGATTTTCATCACCTGTAGAAGCTGTGGACGCCTACAAAACGGTCATTTTGGAGACCCCAACTTCCGAATAGTTGCTTCAATGATTGGTTCCATCGTATGGAAAAATGTGTCAAATTTCGCGGAGAATAGTAAATAGTAATGTTGTGTCACTTCCTTGATTTCCGAAATTTTCAGTGCCGCCCTCGTACAATAGGCTGTGCGTTGGTGGGTTTCCAATAGTATTTCGAATCACTGCTGTAGTAAATGATGTCTTACTTCTTGTTTGAAGAGATTCTTAGTTTCAATGTGTTAGAGCCATGCTGCAGCTATATTGTTGTTGCTGCTCGTCTTGCTCGTTGGCTCGACCGGGGTCCACGCTATCACAATACCAGCGTAAAATAGCAGCTTAATGCTGCTGTGAGTTTCGTGGTGGCTGCTGTGAGTGTTTCGTGGTGTGTGTAGAGAACTGCAGAGCCTTTTTACTGGAAATGAGGCGTTCCGCATAACGAATCTGCTTTTTGAATCTTAACCGAGTATAAATGTCTTTCATCATCCACTTACCATAAGGAGAAAAGTGTGTTCATTTGTCTTATTCTATAAAAAAACCTCCCGCCCTCCCTCAATTGCGTGCACAATCATCAACACCATTAATCTTATCTACTGTTGGGCTTACCCGAAGCTTAACCAAAATACGTTAATCTTTGTAGACTAAGATGAAATGCCTCGATACCAGTATAAAGGCGCTCCGGTTTTCGCCACTCCAAACGAAATACGGCGAATTCAAATAAATTTGAAGTTAACTTCACCTTGGTATTTTCTGCAAGCGTGGTCCTTCCCTAGTCGAGCCGGCCCGTTCATGCTATAGCCATAATACAGCTGGAGCGTGGTATACCACGCAAAAATGTTAGTAAAATGAATATGAAACTAATATTTAAAGATTATCCTAACTTTCTTGAAATTGCGCTTTAGATACTGCAGTTCATTACATGTCTGTTTATTTTGGGATTGCAATGTTCGAGGTTGTCATTTTCTTACCAG